AAATCCCTTAAAATGTCAAATTGAATACACCCCCAACATTTCTCATTTAGGCTCAATTTTACTGTATTCCATCTATGATATTCCAATTTTGATAACAGGTTTTTTTTTCTATACCGAATATCAAAAATTTCCATACCAAAACTATGCAAACCAACATGACTCAACCTATTAAACTATAAGTATTTAATCGACAACAACCATATCTATTTGTTTTCATGAGACCTTTTTATGTTTTAATACATTGTGAACTTTCCCATCAATTAACACATATATAGTTTGTTAAAAAAAATAACACATATATAGCCAAACTTATGTATATTGTTAAAACACTAACCGATGATTGAGAGTGATTCATGGTGAGAAGGATGAGCCGATTCGGTATGGTAAAGAAGGGTGCAAAGAAGCAAAAGCACAATGAGCAAATGAACCAATTCTGAAGAAAAAGTAAAATTTCTCATCTCTTCCTCTTTATTTTTCTTGATTCATTCAAGACTTTTGTTTATATACCCGAATGGAGAGGGAACCTTCCAAGAAAGTATGTAAAATTATAAATTTGTAAAATAATATAATAAATTTAACCTTCTCCACTACCCATTTTTCTTAAATAATTTATCTGTCTTGTGGGGAGAAAATTTTTAATGTGACCCTCCTGTTTCTAATTGACTTCTTTTTTCTAGGAAGTAGTGATGTATGAAGTATTAGGAATATGATATTGCTAGGATCCAGTTATTTTCCAAATAAATAATCTGAGAATTTCAGATCTAGATTTGAATTATAAAATGTTGGATATTTAGATATAACTTAAATATATATCATGTGAATATATTTTTTTGATATACTAAAATGCATAAGTTGATGTACCTATATTTTATTTAGAGTTTTAATATATAGTTTTGTCTACATTACCTATTCTAGTTTGTGTTACATTTCTAATTACAACTTAAAAATGTAGTATCCCCAAACCGAGCCGTCCTTCACTAGCTAGAAGCTATACAAGTGAACTAGATAATTATTCGCGTTATACGCGGAATAATATAATTAACGAATAAAATTAATATAGTTTTAGTTATGAAAATTCATCTATAGTTATTGAAAAAATTATTATACGAAATCCAAAACTCGTTTATATACATAAATTCTGCAATTATTTTGTATAGAAATGTGTTCTATCCATGAAATAATTAAAAACAATAATTTTTAATTTCTTAGTCAATATATATATCACGTATTAATAAAAAATATATAAATTGAATCTTATAGATTTAGAGTAATTAAAAGAGTAATAATATAGTTTTTTTTAAT